TTATTAGTAGCGGGGTCCAATCTTGAAAGAGTTTCCTCCCATTTTGCATTTCTGCGCTTCTTTGGACGGGTACGTCCTTTAGGGCACGGGCCATCTCGTAGACCACCTCGCTGAGGTCCGGGAAAGTGGTTCGGGACCCGAAAACCTCCTGGCTTTCGTATTTTGTCCCTGCTCGGGCGCCATGTTGTACACGGGTGACTCGGTGCTCTGGAATCGCTTCGGTGCCTGCACCGGCACCTGGACACTTCCGGGATGTTGCCCAGCGAGGATGGTTGTCGTGGAGGATGGCGGTGAGGCGTCGTTGACCTGGTGGACCTGGGCAGCGTCGTCGGTGCCCTCCTGGAAGCTGTCTTCAGCTGGGAGGTACTCTGGTTCGTCGTCATCTACGACTGGAGCCCCGGCAGGCACCTGGTGCACATCCATCCTGGTCTGCGATCGGGTACGGACCATACGTGCCCCTTCAAAAGGCCTAGGATCGTCCCTAGGAATGGCCTGGGATCGGCCCTGGTGTCGGACCGGGATCGGTCCTGCTCGTGGACCGGGATCGGCCCCACTGACGGACCTGGAACGGCCCTGGCGTCGGACCTGGATCGGCCCTGTTTGTGGACCGGGATCGGCTCCACTGACGGACCTGGAACGGCCCTGGCGTCGGGCCTGGAACGGCCCTGGTGTCGGACCTGGATCGGCCCAGCTGTTGGACCTGGCACGGCCCCACTGACGGACCTGGTCGGCGATGTTGACCACCTGTGCAACCCGGTGGTTGGGACGTCGCTCGACCTCGCTGGCAGTGCTGGAATCCAATGGCTGGGTCCTGGTGCTGTCGTCCACGATGTAGAAGTTTTTCCCTTTTATACAAGGTAAAAACTACGCAAAGTCTTTTCTATCTTTTTTGTTTGTTCTTAAAAGAACAATTGTTTCCCTGCTCTCGTGGCAGCAGCAAGGAAGGTAGCCCTCAGGTGGATCGAAATTAAAAGCAAATCCGAAATTGAAACGGCGACTTGTATTCGTAGGCAACCAGGGAGCTGTTGTCTTCTCGAGAGGTAATCTCGAACTGAACTTTGAGAGGTCTGATCCTCTCTTTTATAGGAAAGCGACTGACTGTCGAATTCAACTGTAGCCTCCAAATGACAAAAACTGGGCTTATTGCCCTAGCAAAAGGCGGGTCATGTGGACCCTTTGCCTTTACTTTGAGGAGAGGTTTTGCTTGGGTGGGTTTGAGTTACTATAGCATAGTAGTTATGGGATTGGGTGAGAGACTGAGGTGGGGTAAGTATGGGTCCGCCAGCGGCCTTAACTTTATCTAGCAGGGGAATGGGAACAGACAGACTATAATAAGCCAGCCGCTCCCATCGTCTGCATGAGAAAAGTCTGGACAGGTGAACGTAGAGCTGAAAGAGAATTACATGAATATTAAGGCAAGTGAATTGGTGCTTGCACACATAGGCCACCAGGAGTTTGGCGCCCCATGTGGGCTGAAAGCTTAATGACATTGAATTTAATTTTAAAGAATTGAATTGAGTTTCGTGAATAAGAGTAATAAAAATGCACTTGAAGAGTTTGATGTTTAATGGTTAGGTACTTGATAAGTCAAATTGAAAGCAAAAGTAGTAATAAAAGCAAGAGTGATGTTGAGCCATTGAAAATAAAATAAAGAATAAAAAGCAAAATGGCTGAGACAGTGAAATTTTAAGGTTTAGGGAGGTCTGTTATCCTGTAGATAACCCTCTTGGATTCCTCTTGCACCTCTGTAAAGCCTGCGGTCAGCTGGATTATAATTTATGGCATTTCTAAGCACTAGGTTTTGGATTTCCTCAGCACGCTCTAGCGTGGAGTTGGTTCGCTCAATGATGAAGCTGGACAGTTCCGGGATATTCAGTTCGACTCTAAGCTGGGCATTTCTGACAAACCATCTTGCTTTGGTAATTGTTCTTAGATACTTGTTTTGCTGAACTTCCAGCTTTTTAAGCTGGGTTTTGGGGGCAGTTGACCAAGCTGCACACGCATAGGTAATTATGGGCCTGATGATAGTCGTCCATATTGTGCATTTGTTCTTGAGTGATAGTTGGTTGCCTCCGTACAGGGGCCTTAAGGCCATGGTGACACCAACGATTTTGCCCAGAATAGAGTCGATCTGCGGCTTCCAGCTGAGCTTCTCATCTAAGTATATACCTAGGTATTTGGCTGATTGGGACCAGGGGATGTTCTGTCCTTCATACTTAAGGGTTGCCGGGAGCTGACCTCCTTTCCGAAAAAGGATGGCTTGAGTTTTCTCAGGGTTTATTTTCACTCTGTATCTGTCTGCCCAGGACTTTATTCTGTCTAGGGCCTTTTGGACTCTTAGCTCAATCATGCTGAGGTGTTTACTTTGATAAATGAGTGCCGTGTCATCTGCATAAAGGGCCATCATTACTCCTGGGGTGCGCGGGAGGTCCGCCATAAATAAGTTAAACAGGGTGGGGCCCAGTACGGATCCTTGTGGGACCCCAGCACTGATTGGGTGGCGCTGAGATGTTGCTCCCTCGACCTTTGCGGAGAACGATCGGCCAGACAGGTATGACGCTAGGAGCTTTACTAGTGGGGGAGATATGTCCATATTGATTAGCTTGACGAGTAGTCCGGTGTGCCAGACTCGGTCAAACGCCTTACTTATGTCCAAAAGCACCATGCCTGTCCTCAATTTAAAATCATATCCATGGTTTACAGACTCAACTATGCGGAGAATTTGAAGTTCGGTGGACAATTGGGTCCTGAATCCGAATTGTTCATCCGGGAGCAAGCCTTTGTCCTCTATTTCCTCTTCTAGCCGGATTTTAATAATTTTCTCCAGTAGTTTCGCCAGCGTCGGGAGCAGCGAAATTGGCCTGTAGTTTTCCGGCAGCCTGCGAGCCTTCTTAGCTTTAGGAATAAGAATGACCTGGGCTTTTTTCCAGTTGGTAGGGAAGTGCGTAGTTTGGAGAACTCCATTGGCCAGTAGTGTCAGGTTTTCTACCGTGGAGCCGGGTAAGTGTTTTAAGGCCAAGTTAGTAACAGAATCCTCACCAGGCGCGACCTTGTTACGTAGGTTGTTAATAAGGTTTTGGACGAATTCAGGAGTGACTGGTCGGATAGTTTCCTGGTAGTTGTCGTTTATAAACTCACTCACAAACTCTTGCATTCTATGATCCTCCTCCTCGTGCCTTTGCAGCGGTGGATTGTCCATGAACTGGGATTCTAGATGTGTGGCGAAAAACTCCGCCTTTTCTTGAGCTTCGTAGAGGGGCCCGTTCGGGCCCTGTAAGGGGTGGTTTTGCGGTGGATCCGGGTTTTTCATACTCCTGATAATTTTCCAAAGGTCGTTATTAGTAGCGGGGTCCAATCTTGAAAGAGTTTCCTCCCATTTTGCATTTCTGTGGTTTGCTAGGGCTCTTTTTACGTTGCTGGCAAGGCCGTTGTAAACTCTTCTGTCCAATGGGTTAAGCGAGCGTTCAGCACGTTTCTTAGCCAGCCTTTTATCACGAATGAGTAGCTTGATATCGTTTGGGATGGCATAAGGGCATAAGAAGGGTACCGTTTTTGTAGTAGTTGACATTTGGAGGGCTTGATGGATTTGTCTGGTTACAGAGTCGGCCATAGAGTCCACCATCTCCGGGGTAGTTGGTGGAGGAAAGAGGGGGGCATTTGTGGCCAGGATTCCGTGGTATTTCTGCCAGATAGTTCTCCGGATTGTTTGGAGGGGTTTTGGTGGCCTCAGGGGGCCCAAATGAAAAAGAACGGGGCTGTGGTCTGAGGTAGACCCCGTAATAGTGGTTGCCGTGATATCTAAGGAATAATTCTTTAAGATGGCAATGTCCAACACATCTGGGTGGTGGTTAGATCGAGAGTATGTGGGTTCCTCTGGACCCAGGACATCCCATGCAGAGTCTATGGCCAGATTGAACAGTTTGCTGCCGTACGGATTGATGGATAGACTATTCCACGTAGGGTGTTTCGAATTGAAGTCGCCGGCCAGAAGTGTAGGAGAATCTTCGGATAGGGCGGAAAGAAAGTCGTTTTCCGGGAAACGATGGCCTGGAGGGAGGTAACCAACCGAGACTTTGAGGCGGGTGGCAAAGTTAGTCTCAACGTAGACCGCGGCATACTCAAGTATTGAGTTTGGCGGGTCGGGGCATGAACAGTGTGGAATCGCATTTTTGACTAAGATGAGTACACCGCCTCCCCCATCCTGAGACGGCCGCGGTTTGCTATATACATGATACCCAGAAAACTTTGGAGTCGAGTTGGTAACGATTTTAGTCTCTGTGATTAGTACAATATCTGGCTGCTTTTCTGCGATTAAGGCTTCCAGTTCAGGTTTTCTCCCCTTCATACCATTTATGTTCCACAGAATGACATCCAGAGAAAGTGCTTTTTGTGTTAGGGCCATTAGCTGGTTCGAGGGGCGATGGACTTGGACAGGAGTTTAATGGATTCTTCTTGAGTTTTAAATTGTGCATCAATTTTAGTGGTTAGGCCATTTATTGAAGTGATAAGAGTTGCCAGAAGAATAGTGAGATCAGGGTTTGTCTGCTGAGAGACTGGAGCTGCAAATGGGGCTGAAAAAGGGTTTAACGCTTGACTGTATGACTTGTCTTGTGTGGTTTTAGCTGAGGTGGAGTTAGCTTGTTCAGTAGGCTGTTGAGCTGAAGGGGTGGGTTTTATATTAGGGTTTCTGGTACATATAGGGGCATTAGCAGTGTGCGGGCCGCCGCAGTTAGCACACTTTGGGGTGACCTCACGTGGCTTAGTACATTCCCAAGATTGATGTTCACCTGCGCACTTGACGCACCGAGGGAATGCCGAACATTTGGTTTGAGCGTGCCCAAATTTCTGGCACCGGTAGCACTGTGTTATGGTGTTTTTGCGCTCCAGAGGCTCAACTTTAATCCTGATTCTGCACATGTAGGCCAGGTCAAAGATTCTGTCCTCCTCAGGCGGAACCTTAACCAGAACAAGAGGCATTTCCGTCTTATTTTGTCCTCTACGCATTCTGATGACTGTTGAGGGGTGGTAGTTGTGTTCAATTAAGTCATTTTTGATGTCTTTGATGTCAATTTCCAATGGAAGTCCTCTAATCACAGCTTGAACCATCCTTTCTTCCGGGAGCTGGTAGGTGTGGTACTCTTCGCCATTTTCTGTGAGGAATTTCGTGATAGCCCTATAGTCATTACTAGAATCTGGGAAAATTTTTACTCCATCATGAATGTTAGTGGCTCTGGAGAAGGTATGGCCTGCAGCCGTGATGGCACCCGATACCATTGTCCATCTAGACTTATTGCGTAGGATATAGGCTGGTGCAAGCGGAGGCTCTTTAGCTGGCAGAGGCGGAAAATCTACAGAAGCATCGTGAGGGTCATTTTGAGTAGATGAATGGGCATTTTCTTCCATTGGGGCAGTGCTGAGTTTAGGACTGGATGGAAGAGAATTGTTACGTTTACGCTTGCTTGGTTTTTCTGGGGAGTCATTATCTATATCAATAGCCAGGTTTGATGAGGCTTTGCCGAGCTCTGTGCCTTTTAGGGTGAGGAAATTAGCATTTAGGATTTCGATCTGACGTTGTAGCGCAGTAATTTGGGCCGATTGAGTGGATAGTTGGGCTGTCAGACTTTCGACCATGCCAACTAGCCTGGCGTTTTCACGTTGGAGGCGCATTTCCTCAGGACTTGGCATGGGACCATGGTTTTGAGTCTTTTGATGTTTTTCGTCTCCTGCGTTAAACAGCTGGTTGATTTTTGACTTGATGTTAGGGGACAGATCAGATTTGGCTCTCTCGAGCGAATTGTTAGATGCCGTGTTAGATTTATCAAGCTCCTTGTCTTTCTCTTTTTTGTGTTTTTTGGAGACTTTAGGGGCTGATTTGACATTTGGTGCAGGTAGGGGTTTATTGACTTTGGTAGGGGTGCGGATTATTTTCCTAGATTTGTCAAAAGCAGTAACGTTAAAATCGGGAAAAAATAACCCACCAGGAGGGATTGGTGCTGGTTTTAAGGGAGAAGTTGATTCTTTTTCACCCATTTTGAGTTGGTTTGAGAAGATAGATTGGTTTAGCAGCGTAAAAGGTCACTTGGGAGTGACCAAAATGCTTAAGATCACCAGTTGCACCAAACGGGATACTGAAAGACTGTGACGTAGCGTTCAGTCTTCCGTCCGCGCTGTTTGAACTAGGATTAGCCGTGTCGAAACGGGCCTCAGTTGCTGCTTGCACCTGATTGGTTACAGGTCGTAACGAATCAGAGCACAACAGAGGTCCGTTCGTCTATATAAGAAAAGACAGGTGGCTTTTCAAGTCAGTCTATCTTGAGCCTCTCAAGTAGAAAGTCACCAGTCTCCCTGGCAACAGAGACAAACCGTCGACTACCATACTACCTGCTTGTATTATTCGAAGACCCGGTGATACCTACCAGCGAAGTTGCAGTCCAAGCCCTGTGCGCAGGCAAAAGCTGTTCTTGTTAGAACAACGCAACGGTGAAGACCCGGTGACATCCACCAGCGAGTAGCTGTCCAAGTCCTGAGTGTAGGCAACAATAGTTCTTATTAGAACTACCTCGTGAAGAAGACGTCCAGAGCCCCAGGTCACCTGTCATCGGCAGTGGCCGTTTGGTCAGTTCTTCGGACGTCACAGCTTCCAGCGGGGCCGATCCCTGGCCCCCATTAGGGCCGCTTCCAGGCCAGCCAGCAGGGCCGTTCCCAGGCCGACTTCAGGGCCGATCCGTGGTCCCAGTCGGGCCGTTCCCAGGCCGACCAGCAGGGCCGTTCCCAGGCCGACCAGCAGGGCCGTTCCCAGGCCGACTTCAGGGCCGATCCCTGGTCCCAGTCGGGCCGTTCCCAGGCCGACCTGCAGGGCCGTTCCCAGGCCGACTTCAGGGCCGATCCCCGGCCCCATTAGGGCCGCTCCCAGGCTATTCCAGCGGCGATACGCATGGTTCGCACCCGGTCGCAAACCAGGATGGCCGATCAACCAGAAGTGGACCCTACCACTATGCCAGCACCAGGTGAAGGTGATGCCGAACAATACCACGAAGCGGAGGACAGCTTCGAGGACGAAGTAGATGCCATGGCCAACCACAATCCTGAGGGCCTGCCGTCCCCGCCATCGTCCGTCAGTACCATTCCCATAGAGAACCAACCCGGAAGTGTATCCGGCCCAATGCCGGCAATTACCAAGATTTTGCCGGATCCAAGCCGTCGACTACAACATGGCGCCCGAGCAGGGACAATGCATGATGGAAGCCACCAGGTGTCCACCACGTCCCAACCCGTATTCCCGGATCTCGGGGAAATGGTCTACGAGATGGCGAGGGCACTGAAGGACGTTCCAGTTCAAAGGAGCGTGTTTCCAACCTTCAGCGGGGAAGATTTCGAGGATCCAAACTTCTTCCTGAGGAAGATGGAGGAAGCACTCAAGAAGAGGCATATTCCCGCCGACGAATGGGCGTTCCACGCCTTGGGCCAGATCAAGGGTAAGGAGGAACAGACCTTCGCCTGGTACAAGACCCAGGAAATCAGTTGGGCCCGGTTCATCGTCGAATTCAAAGAAACGTTTATGGCGAAAGGCAGAATAACCAAGCTGATTTCGAAATTTTATGGTGAAAGTCAGTCCGAGGAAGAAGACGTCGTTCGCTTCATCCAAAGAAAGCGATCCATGTCCAGGTGGTTGCTGCCATCTATTCCGGAGAACCACCTCGTCGATGAAGTATTCGAACTACTTTTGCCCAGAGTTCGATATGCCTTAAGACTCAAGATGCCCATGGAGATGGACGAATTGATGAGATGTGCTCGTGCGTTAGAAGCCGACCTACGTGCGTGCGATTTTAATCGCGCGACGATGATCAAGTTCAAGGAACCAGTCCAGTCGTCGGAAAACTCCCAGAGGAGGGGTACCGACAAAGCTACCCCTCCGAAATAAACATGGTGCCAGAGGGCATGGGGCCGCCCGTGATCCAAGTACAGATTCATGGGCAGCTATTGAAGGCGTGAGTGGATACTGGCGCGAGCCTGACGCTGGTCGATCTAGCGTTGGCTGAGGACTACGTACCCGAAGCGAGGAAGATACGGACCATTGGCGACGCCCAACTTCAAGTATTGGGCCACACCAGAGTACATTTCCGCATCAGAGGGCAGTCCTACGTGCATACCATGCACGTGGTGGGCAGACTTCCATACCCGATGATCCTTGGTATGGATTTCCTGGAGGCGCAACAGGCGCTGGTGGACGTCGCCCGAGGGTGTGTATACCTCGGAAAGCGGGAGCGGATGGCGGTGTTCTGGAGGCCAGAAAAGGATCCGGAACTGGACAGCGAAGCCATTCAACTTCCAGAGATCCCTGGAGACGTCCCCCAAGACCTTCGCCGAGAGATGGAAGACCTGGTGCACCAACGTCGTGCACTGTTTAGCAGCAAGATGCGGTCACCTTCCCAAGTACTGCGTTCGCACCGGATCGAGCTTCACGACCGGACGCCATTCCGAACCAGTCCACGGAGGTATTCCGAGGAAAAGGCCGCTGAAATCGAGACCCAGGTGGAACAGATGCTCCAGGGGGGCATCGTCGAACCCTCCAATTCGCCCTACGCGTCGCCGGTGGTCCTGGTGAAAAAATCATCCGGATGGCGTTTCTGCGTGGACTATAGGGAGTTAAACAAGAGGACGTCGGACGTCGTCAGCGTGCTGCCACCGATAGCAGAGACAGTCCGGGACCTGGGCCAAGCCAAGGTGTTTACCAGCTTGGACCTAACATGCGGCTACTGGCAGCTACCTATGGAGACGTCATCCAAAAAGTACACTGCATTTTTTACACCTTCTGGAGGGCAGTTCCAATTCCTGGCCATGCCATTCGGGCTAAAGCTCGCTCCAGCAACGTTCCAACGAGCCATGACGGAAATCTTCGCCGGAATGTTGAATAGGTATGTAAAAGTCTACTTGGATGACATCATCGTGTACTCCGAGACATACGAAGACCACGTCGAGCACCTGAAACGAGTACTGGAGAAGATAGAAGTTCATCAACTCAGGCTCAATCCCGAAAAATGCAAGTTCGCCACGTCACGATTGCCTTACCTGGGATATGAAGTTGATGGGCAGTTCACTCGGGCTCGAGAGTGCCATTTGTTGAAGATAAAGAATTTTGAGAAGCCCCGAAACAAGCGTCAGGTCCAGGCCTTCTTGGGATTGGTCAATTGGTTACGCGGCTACATCCCCGATCTGGCCGCGCTGGTAGGACCATTGACTGATCTGACGGGGAACGAGAAGTTCAAGTGGACACAAGCATGCGAGGACAGCTGGGCCAGGACGAAGATCGCACTGGAGAAACCCCAACGGCTGGAGAGACCCCATCGAGGCTGGAAGTTTGTACTCCAGGTCGACGCTTCCGATGAAGGCATGGGGGCGGTCCTCATGCAAGAAGATCCAGAAGGGGCCAGGCATTTGATTCATTTTAGCTCTTCCAAGTTTCACAAGGCGGAGAAACAATATCATATAAATGAAAAAGAATGCCTCGCGATGGTTTGGGCCGTTCGGAGGTATCGACAGTACCTGGAAGATCAGCACTTCGTGATCCGGACGGACAACAGGGCCTTGGTGTGGCTGCAGAGCCACAAAGATGACCGGGCGAAGCTAACCAGATGGGCCCTCTTACTTCAAGAGTTTTCCTTTCAAATTGAACACGTAGCAGGGAAGACAAACCAGCTGCCAGACTACTTGTCGCGAAATGCAGCGGAGTGTCCCGAAGGCCCAGCGGTTCAATATGATGAACTGATTCCAACTCCAGAAGTTTGCGTGGTCCAAGACGAACCTTTGATCCAGGAGATCCTGAAGGGGCAACTGGTCGACCACGTAACCCAGGGTCTGGTTAGACGAATTAAGCACGCTGAACAGGAGGGACCTCAGGATGACATCGATCGCAGCCTGGTGGCAAATTTCCTAGTCTCGGCAGAAAACAACTTATTTCAAAGGCGACCCGATGGAACGTGCCGCGTTTACGTGCCAGAGGGAATGAGGAACAAGGTGCTGGAATACTTCCATTCCAGCGACGCAGGGGCCCATCCAGGACGGAAAGAAACCCAGCGTGCAATCGACGAGCGGTTCCATTGGGACCGGATGGGAGCGAACATTCGACGACACGTACAAGCTTGCCTTGTATGTAGGCAGATCAAGGGCCGGAATATTCAAGCCGCAGCTCCGATGACTACACATCAACCCACCAAGGCATGGCAGATGATCTCCATAGACACCCTGGGCCGGTATCGAGGAAATGGGCAAGAACCTGAGTATGCAGTGATCATTGAGGACGTATTGACCAAATGGACAGAAGCCGCCGCGGTCAAGGATGCCCGCCACCCGACAATCACTGCTGTTCTGGACGAACTTTTCCTGCGCTACGGGGTACCGGAGGTTATCATCGCAGATTGTGCATCGCAGTTCACGCTAGCAAAATGGGAGCGTTACTGCCGAAAACTGGGCATAAGGATGGTAAATTCGGCAGCCTACCATCAACGAGCAAATCCCGTCGAGCGGCAAGTCCAGGAGACTAAGAAAATTATCCGGGCCCTCATGAAGACGAATCCAAGGGCCAAATGGTTTGAACTATTGCCCAAGGCGACCGGCATCCTGCGCGGTCGTGCGAACCGAGCTACTGGAGAGACACCGGCCAAGGCGTTTCTGGGATATGAACCGCGCCAACCAGGAGATTGGCTCATCCCAAGGGCCGATGAGATCCAGCAGTCCCGAGAAGACCACGACGATCAGCTAACCCGCAGGAAGCAGATCTTCGCACGGCAATATGTGGGCGATCCCGCCCAAATGCCCGTGCAATTCCAAGTCGGCGATCAAGTCCTGGTCAGAAACCACGAACGAGGGGTTTTTGGGGATCCCTGGAAGGGTCCCTTCGCAGTCACCAGGAGGATATCGCCGGCAACCTACGAGGTACAGACCGATGGCCGAGCTGTACCAATTCATGTGGATGACATCAGGCCAGCCCCTAGTCAACATGTGTAATAGTGTCCAAAGCAGAGTAACGTGCA